AGTCTACAAATCAAATCATTGCTGATTTTTTATTCTAATTTTAGTCTTTCCAACTGAATGTACTGTAATGCTTGTATGTATATGTCCCTATGAGCAATATAGGGGTTTTGTAAATTATGCAGTTACTGTAATTATCATTGTTTTTTAATAATGAAAATGAAGGTGAAAAGGATTTTAATACCTTTGTAAAAGTATCGTGACACCAAGCAGTATATATTTTGTCTTTTTGGAGCTGTTAGAGCTGAAAACAAGCCCAGCTTTTTTTCACATATTGATGTAGAAGCTGCGGTACACGAGTGTTGTTCTCCTCAGAGCTGTATCTTTCCACACAGAGGACTTGTCAAATAGTGGCAGTTTGTCTTTATTTAAAATAGAACTTGTTTCAAGAGCTGGGAGGAACTCTGAGACTGAGGAAAACATGTTTTAGAAGTGATTTTGACTTGCTCATAACACTCTGCTGTATTTGTACAGTGACTCTTCACAGTGACTGAAAACAAGCCATAAACCAAGAACCGTTTGTATTTTTTCTTTTCCTTAACTGAGGAAGACAGACTTCATAATGATTCCTGGTCATAAGCCACAGGCCACAGAGAGGTTTTGGGGTTTTTTTTGATTGAGAACACTTGTGGGAAAATGCTGGTGGAACTAGTTTTAATGGACCAATCTTAAAGCACTGCAGCCTCATGTCAAATGAGTAGGGAAAGATGAAGGTACAATGGGCTGAAACTTCAAGCAGTGCATCTTCTAATAAAGGCCTTACTTTTCTTATGTAAGTCATCTTCTGTGTTTTGTAAACTTATTCTAAAGAGTTGTCTGGACTTTAATTTTGATGGGTGTTGCCATTTTGGACTGTATGAGTAGAAAATGTATCTGATACTTGTAAATGGCATATTAAAAAGCCAGCAAGAATCTGTTCAGATGGTGCATTATTTATTATGCAACAATATATATAGCATGTCTTTTTTTTCTTATTTTGTTTTTCACTTTTAACTTTGCTTGTAAAACTGAAATTCATTGTTATTGTTCTGGGGTTTTTTCTATTAATCTTTTGTGTATTTTCAGATTATGTAACAATATGTACAGTCTACTTTTGAACTATTTTTATCACAGTATTATTTATTCCTTTCTTTCAATAAAGTACTGATGCATTTTCCACTGCCAATAAAACACTATGGAAAAGCTGAGATCTAACGGTGTGCAGGCAGAAACTTTTGCGGTGAGTGGACATTGTCAGTAAAGCATCTTAGTGATTGTTTGCTGCCCTGTAGATCTTGTTTCAGATGATGACCTTTCTCCAGTAGGAAAAAAGTACTCCATTAGAGGTGACATTTTCTTTGGAATTGTTCAAGTTCACATGCATTAATCAGTTTTGGAAAAAAACAGTTTTCTGAAGAAATGGCTTTCTTGCCTCTTTCTACTCATAGTTACAGCTGTGATTTGCTTTTAAAAATGGTAACGGAAACTCCCACACGACTTCAGTGCGTTCTGGTCCACGTGATGGAGATTGAAGTGCTGTTCTAGGTAGCACCAAGAGCTGCTTTGTTAATAAAATGAGGTTATGACCATAGTGATATTTAGGGAGAGACACGGGAGTCGAGGGAACCAATACAAAATTGGGTCACAATAGGGCTGTTTATGTCAATTTTAATACTTCGGTAAACCTTTTCCCGTGCAGAAGAGAAGACAGAAGGATAAAGTTACAGAATAATGGAAGCAGTCGTGAAGCATATTACATCATGTCCCCTGGATCAAGAGAAGGAATGCCTGGAATGGAGAAATGTTGTCATTGATGCTCCAAACATTGTTCAGTAATGCATCTGTTTGTCTGGCTTGTCTGTATGAGTTGCTCTCTGTTCATTTGAAGGCTCTTTTGTATTTTCAGGTAATCTGTCTTCGTAGAAAAAGCTGAAATGGAACTGCAGAAGGAGCTCCTGACTCACTGTTCAGCTGAACTTCACTGTTTAGAGAAAAAATTGCATAGACGTTACTGGTCACTGATGTGATAGTGGGTGTTCAGTCATGTATTGTTGCTTCTCAAAAGTGAAACCAATGCGGGGTAGACTTGTAAAATGTGAAAAGAAAATGCATTTATTATTTTAAGGCTGTAAAACCTTAACTGTTATGGAACAATGGAACTGACATGAGAGCTAGAATAAATGAATGAAATGGCAAAAAGCTTTCACGAACTGGCATAACTGTGTGGTGGCTTCCTTCTGAATTACTCAGCTAAACTGTCTTGGGG